ACCAGAAAGGCAATACAATATTCCAAATAATAATATCAGCAGTTTGCTAAAACTTTAAAATAATAACAGTGGCTAAAGAGGATTGAAAGGATAGTGGCAATAATTTCGACACCATTTTAAATAATAATCATAATAATAAAAATTTTTATTGTTATAACAATAATAATAACAATAATAACACTGGAAATAAAAATAATGGTCTTATGAAATTTACACGGTGATAATGCTGAATGAGTGAAATTTCAGCTAGTTTTTGTTTAAGTTCATAAAGCACAACAACTTTCTAGCAAAGACTTTAGTGTAGTTGATAATAGTATACTGATAATGAAAAACAAGTGAGGGAGAATCATTGGAAATAAATGGCTCCCGCCAGTTTTGTACTCATTTTGACCTTTTCATTAAACCTTTGCATCAGGATTGCGATTCCTGAAGTAGTTGGACAGGGTCATATAAACAAGCTTGGTCGAAAGCGCACCGACTGCCGGTGCGAAGATGCGTTTTTTGCACAGTTTTCCCGCAGGTTTTTGTTGCTAATGGCACTGTTTTTCCAGCAGATGCTTCTAGTTAAGAGAAGTAAGAGTGGCCACCTTGAATATTAGAAATTATTACAATAAGTCCCAATCCGTGCCCAAAAAATCCAACACTTTAGATGCTTAGGTTTCCTTCAAAATTTCAGCTCTTCAGCTTTCCTGGTTCCCGGGTTAGCCGTTTTCTTACCAAAAATTTTCTGGAGGCCGTACGTGAGTACCGCACATACTGAGGGGCTGAATTTGATAAATATAAGTCGAATTTGTGCTGGGAATATTCCTTGAAAATTTCAGCCCTCTAGCTTTTTTGGTACCTGAGTTAGCGATTTTTGCGCCATGAAACCTCACGAGGCCATACGCGGAAACCACGCACAACCGGGGGCTGAATTTGAAATTTTTGAGTTCTATGTGGACGGGGGACATAACCTTAAAATTTCAGCTTTCTATCTTTTCTCGTTCCCGAATTATCAGTTTTTCCGCCAAAACTTTCACCCCGTCGTATTCGGGGCCTAGACTTGCGTGAGAGTTGGTACCGCCATACTGGGGTGGCATTTGGCCGGGGAACCCACTGGCAAAATTTTGACGCCGGAGCATGCTCGGGTGCTGAGTGAAATATCTGGACAGACGCGCGCGCGCACACACACACACACCGGGGTCATCACAATATGCGTTTTTGTATTTGCATATAAGCAAAAACGCATGATAAAAAAATCAAGAATTTTGTTATTATGCAGCTTAACTTCCAGGAAACTAATTTCTGTTATACTGTTGCTTTATCAGAAATGCATTTTGCAGTGTGGATAAATATGCGCCAGCATGTAACTGGCCAGCTGAATAGCGATAAGCTGATCATTTACTGGCTCGAACGGCACACCATGGAATTACACGCATCGTCGATTACCTTGCTTTTCGATATGTCTTCCTGTGGCCTACAAAATATGGTAAATTCAAAATTTACAAAGGTTTCTGGAGGAAAAGCGGGCTAGTGGAAGACAATTGCTAAAACTCCATTTAGTTTAGCCCGGTTGGGAGGCGAGTTACAATGATTCTGCGTCTTCCTTCGGATGGAGGGATAAGGGGAAAGGGAGGGGGGAGGCTGGGGGTTGTGGCTTAGATCCCGGGAATTTGTACGAGAGGAGAAGGGAGGGGATATTGACTGAAAGGGAGCTGAGACCTTGCTTGAAATATTGCTTTCACATCCAGAAAGCACCACGTAGATAGAATTTTGAGAAATATTTACCCATCTCGTATTTATATGCAACATAGTTGCTTCTCATATCGATTTTCTTGGTAATTTATATGTATTTATCTAAATTCCCCGCAGATAATCTGCACCTGTACATTACCTACAGGTTTTCATCCACTCAAAACTGCAGGATTTGGAACTGCTAAAATTCGTCTTCCGTGCCTGTAAATACTACTATCCAAGCTGTGTATCCGCACTGCTCATCTTCGAAAATCCGGGAATGCTGAAGGCACCATGGATGCTATTGCGCACACTGATGTCGACCGAAATGCAGCACCTTCTACGACACGTAACGCGCACATCCTTACCCGCTTTTGTCCCATTAAAATACATTCCGATGCGATATGGTGGCGAGGTAAATACGTTTTTTTTTTACAACGACGCTCTGCGTATCACTAAAATTAAATCATTGGCGTACTAAGATTCCCAAGAAATCTTTGATCTTTCGCAAAAATTCATTGAGAAATAAAACTGCTGTCGTGCAAAAAGTCTA